CTCTCTCTCTCTCTCTCTCTCTCTCTCTCTCTCTCTCTCTCTCTCTCACTTTGTCTAGCTCTCATGACATAATTCATGTCCCCAGTGCACCTGGGTTAGGGTCCCTACCAAGCTTACAGACTCAAACTGGTTCCAGAGCAAGACAGCTATTTGCTAGTCACTAGATAAGGAACAGGGCAAGTTCTTAAACAGTATTTTTTTTTTTAGATATGTTCCCAGTCCCTTCTTGGAAAAATACTTCCATCCAACAAAATGCCAGCCTGTATTTACAAATAGATACATCAAGCACCCTGATGGCCCCGTGGGTAAAGACTCCACAGCCCACCTATAAGTCAGTGGGCAGAACCAACCAGCTGCTTCGTGGGGATAGGATGAGGCAGGCTGCTTCTGCAAAGATTTCCAGCCTTGGCAGCGTGGGGCAGTTCACTTGAATTAAAGACCTGATGGCAATAATTGTTTTGTTTTCTCTTTCTGTAAACAAAACCATTTTTGAGAAGCTGTAGAGTGCTTACTAAGGTAAAGTTTGTGTTAGAATATCTTTTGAAGCTGTTAGATGTATTTAAATGGAAGTGAAAGGCCATAAACACGCTTCATGGATGTTTTCAGTGAAGATAAATAGTGTCATTCAAAGTATATGCTAGTATTGTGATGTAATATATAGACATATAACTATAGAGGAGGACGCTCCAAAAAGTGCATGGAAAAATTCCACTTCTTTTAATCTTTCCATGAACTTTCCCATGCCTCTGTGTGTGTGTGTGTGTGTGTGTGTGTGTGTGTGTGTGTGGTGTGTGTGTGATATAGTATTTTCTTTTGGCCGATCGTAATTTATGATAGCACAACCATAGCTGATGTAAAATAAGTGGGAAGTGTCCATGAACTTTAAACCAATGGCCTGGTTCTCTTATGTCCCCGCAGACATCAGCCCCCCTGCACAAGGCGTGGACCACAGACAAGTCCAGAAAGAGCTAGGGGATGTCAGTGTCCGTCTCCACACTCCAGTCGTGTTGACTCCCACCACCGTTCAAGTCACGTGGACCGTAAGTTTTTGAAGGCCATGTCAATAGTAGTGTTTTCTATTTTTGTTTTAATTTTCAAGAAAAGTGAACAAAAATTATATAAAAATCCTTTTTTAAAGTTACTGTCTAATCAGTAATAAGAATATAATTCAAGATAGTAAGTCATGCTCTGTCTTCTGAATTCTTAATAATGTTATTAAGATACAAGTAACGTATAAAGAATAAAGTGGCACAGCTCAAAATTTTAACTATATTCAAACAGTTCTTCCACTGTCACCATAATCTAAAATTAGGGCATTTTCATCAGTTCAAAACAAAATTTTATGTCTATTAACAATTGCTCCCACTTTCTGTACCCTCATCCTGGGCAACAATAAATATATTGTCTAGCTGTGTAGATTCAGCTCAATAGATCTCAGCCTGGCATACAAATGAGACACAATATGACACATTGTGTATGTGACCTTTCACTCAACATGACAATTCTAAAGAGATTCCATGTTGTCTTATTGCCAAATAATATTCCATTGTATGGATATATCACGTTCTGTTTTCCCATCATTATTTGATGCCTATAGGTTTGTTTGCAATTTTTTTATTATTAACAGTCATGGTATGTCTGTATATGAAGATATATTTCCATTTCTCTTGAACATTTCTCTAAATCATAAGGCTATCCTTTGTTTAATATTGAGGTACTGCCAAAATATTGTCCAAGGTATTTTTATCATTTTCCATTCACACCAGGAAGATTTGAAGGATCTTTTTACCCACAATGGCACAGGCCCCTCTCTTTGTCTTTTGACTTATATTCGTTCTGGGATATATGCAGTGATATCTCATTGTGACTTTACATAGCTTTACGTTCTTATTCATTGGATAATAGCGTGTGCGTTTGCATGTGCTTGTTTCTCATTTGAGTATTGTCGTTAGAGAAACACCTGCTCATTTGTTCATTTAAAATTCAGTTATTCATCATATGATTGAGTTGACATGTAACTTCCCTTGTAAGACATGTGCTTTGAGAATATTTTCTCCCAGTCTATGGATTATTTTTCTGCATTTTTGAAACTACTTTTTTAAATACACAAATTTAAACTTCAATAAAATAATCTTGAGAATGTATTTCAATCACCTTCATATTTCTTAGGCACACTACTGAATTCTATTGAGCAGCATCAAAGTGTATATCTAATTTTCACAATTTTTCATGTACACTCAAACAATTAGGTGGATGTAAGGAGCAGGTCTGCTACGAATGCTCAAATGCCATGCAATGTTAAACCCGTCATGGTGATCGATATCATTTCAAAGTCCAAAATGTTTTTGTTCAGACAGTGACCACTGTGTTGAAAACACTATATCTGATGAAAGTGGCCACATTAGTCATATTTGAATATACTGGTAATTGTAAGCATTTGTGGTTAGTGTGTGTTTCTGTTTTGAGTGGAGTCAGAAGTGCGATGTTCTTTACAGAGAGACAGTTAATGTTAACCTCTCATAAATGCCAAAGTACTCCATTATCAACTCTAAAAAACTATGAAGAAATGTATTAGGATTCTAAAGAAACAAATCATTTTGTGCATTGCCTAAGTAATTAAAGTTAGGGGTACATAAAATATTTCCATTTTAGTTTTCCATTAGTTATTCAAAGCAGATATGGAATTCCGTGTGTACTATTATATTTTGTCATCATGTAAGTGAAAAGAAGAGGATATTTAAAGAGACTGGTCTCATCCTACCCTCCTGAGGTTCAACTTTCTTTAGGAACCAGCTATTTCATTCACACCCTGTACTCCTTCAGCAAAATCAGTAGAGAAGAGAAAACTAATTATTTTTAATATGTTCTTAAGTAGTTATGTTTGGACTATAAAACACAATGAAGTGAATTATTCAGAATGTTTTTTTTATTATGAAACAATAAAATACTGATTAAACAGTTCTGTCTAGCAATCATAAACCACACAGTATTAATTCCACAGAACAAATTCAATTCAGAAAAACATTTCTTGAGTACCAATTATGTGGTAGATATGGGGAAGTATTAAATAATGAACTCAAATCTAGTTGAAAGAAATATGGTAAGAGCCATTACAACTACACACATATGCACATACTATAACGAAATTTCAACCAAGCAAGTAGTGTTTAATTCTGTCTTAAAACTATCCTCTATGTACCAAAAACCACATCTTTAGTCATGTACATCTGTATACAATAACATGGTGTCACATAAATACATTATTATAATAATATGTACTATCCTGATAACATATTATTGTAATACCAGGCATTGTTAAATGAGAATAGGAGAATTTGAAACAATACTCAAGGGTTTCTTTTGGTCCAGTTCTATAATGTTATAAAAGGAAAACAGTGCAGAGAAGTTGAACAATGTCCACAATATCCCAACTTTATATGTAGGTGAAGATAGGACTACAATATCCTAACCCCAGATCTACTTTTGGGGTGTATGGGGTGGCACATAACTGTAGTGAAACTGCTGATATTTACTGGAAAAGAAGAGCTTTTTGTGGTGAAATTTTGACATGTAGTCCTGACTATGTTTTGTTACTCTTCAAACCAGACAACACGATTCATCGCACTTGGGGCTTCTGAGTATAAAATTGGATAATGCACTTAATAAAATAGTACCAAACATCTAATGTTATGAGTGATGATTATTCAGGATTTCAGGTGTTGAATTTCATATAGTCCTATGTTCTTTATGATTATTCCTTTCGCAGGATGAACATAATCATCTCCTCATTTCTGCATCAGCACAGTAGGGACAGTCTCTGTAACCTCTCTCTGATTTCTCAGTGGTTTTGACTAGATCCCACACTAGCAAAATGAAAGCAATCGTTGCCTGTCAGTGGTAGATTTGTCTTGTGTTTTCAATGGAAAAGTCTCATCTGCTCTGTTAAGCTCCTTCTTCTAAATATGGGAATTATTTTTGTAAGAGTCAGAATCATTCTGTTTTATGAAGGTAATTACTTTAAATTTCACTGTTTGAAGAGTCAATAGATTTCAATAGATTAAGACAGATTGGGAAGAAAGGCATGACAATCTACTACTTCAGGAAAAAAAAAATAGCCAGAGTGACATAGTCTAAGTTGGTTCTGAAAATGAGGCCCTCACTTAGAAGGTGTTCAAAATATAACTAGAGACAAGCCTTAGTAAACTTTAATAACTTTAATGGAGTAAACCATTTGGGACTTTTATTTGCTGACATTGCATGACTGAAAATGAAAGAAACAGCTTCAAACATTGATTAGTAAGAGGAACTTTTAAAAGTACTAAGAAAATTGAAAATTTGTAAAAATGAAATGGAATGTGTGAAGATCCTTATCATAGGCATAAGTATTCTACAATGGCCACTTGAAGTCAGAGAATCGTATTGTCTACTGTGCCTGGAATGATAAATTGAAGAGTAGCTGAGTTGCATTTGTTGTCAGAAAGAGCATCTCAAGATCTAGCTTGAAGTACAACTGTCTCAGTGATAGGATAGTATCCATAAATCTATAAGGAAGACCCAATAGTGTGACTATTATTCAAATTTATGGACCCATCACTAATGACAAGGTGGAAGAGTGGCAGGTTTTTACTGTTATGTAGTTTGGAATTATAAGGAATCATGAAGCATGAATATTTACAGATGATTGTGTGGAAAAAATTGGGAACAAAAGGGATTGGTGGTTCGAAATATAACCATCATGATGGAAACAATGTGGGGAATTGCATGATGTACTTTTTCAAGACCAATGGCTTATTCATCTTAAATACCCCCTTTGGATTAATGCAAATGATGACTCTACATGTGAACCTTACCAGACCCAGTACATAGGAATTAAATGAACTGCATCACGGAAAGAGACAGTGGAACAATTCAAGGCCGGAACAGAACTTGAAATGGCCATCTGCAAGCCCCACGTGAAACGGAGGGGGCCCAAAGTCTGACCTGAAGTGCATCAGACCAGAGTCGGGAGACCCTTCCTGGAAGAGATGTGTTACAATGAACATGAACACCTGAAGATGGAGTTGTGGGAGGGCACCGAAGACATGGCACCTGAAGAAAGAAAGAGATCGTTAAAAAAAGGTGAGACTGAGAGAAAAACTCAAAGAGGAGTCAGAGGACAGCGGAACGAGTTTGGGAAATCTGACGAAGAGCATCCCAGATGCAAGCCCCGCCCAGACCAAGCTTCGGGGAGAGTCCCAGATGCTACCATCTTCTTCATTGCTGAAGTCTCTGACGTGCCTGCCTCGTCGCTCTCCCGGATCCCCTTTGAACCAACTGTTTGTTTGCACTTAGCCAACCCCAGCCAGGGGGCAGGGTCTCTGCTCAAACTTGCTCTTGAGTATACAGAAATTTTAAAAAAATAGAAGAAATGATTAAGTGAAAAGGCTGAACTGAGAATTTAAAAGGTGGGTATAAAAGACAAAACTGGAAGCAAAATGAAGCATGAGAAGTCGTGCAATCCAGACCCACAGGAGGTGAACATCCTCTGCATTTCTCCCGCTGAAAGAATGGAAGAAAAAACCAAGCCTCTAGCTGCAATACAGATTCCATCACCAAAAGTGCAAGGAATAGAATGAGCTACTACAACCACACGAATGGCTTGATAGCCAACCACTTCAGGAGGGTATGCATGATCAACGAACTACGGTATTGAGAGAAGGTGTCCAAGCTGCACAGAAGGCATTGGTCACAACTGAGGCTCCAGCAATTGGTGGCATACGAATAGAGATGCTTCAGCAAGCATAGGCAACACAGGACGTCCTCTACCATCTATGACAAGGACTAGAGAGGACAGTCCCGTGGCTAAATGACTGGACGAGATCAAGGCCTGTTTGAATTATAAAGAGTTCCAGCAGAAGGTGAAAATTATAAAACAACACCATTAATATCACATGCAAGTAGATTTTGCTGAAGGGAAAGGCTGTAGCAATAGGGAACTGCCAGGAATTCAAGACAGATTCAGAAGAAGAGATGGAAAGTAATATGATGGCATTAGGTGGAT